CCCGCCACCTTAGGTGTACGTGGCTGGCACCTTAGCCAGTTGAGCTATAGGCGCCGAGCCATGATTTTCTTTTATAATCAAACTGCTCTGCTCCGTCACCCAGCTCACTCTCACTTCCACAGATTTGCATGTCACTCTTCACTCTGCTCCCCCACCTCTGACCTCGGCTTCAGGCTCATGTGTATTGCTCCCTGTTCGGCACCATTAGAACGTGCCTTTCAGTGGGCTTTGTGCAGCCTCACTTGTCTGCCTGCGTCTGGTGTGCAGGCATGTTTCTGGGCTCTGGGCCCAGCCTTCCTCAGTATCCCTGAAGGCCTGGATCTTGCATCCCCCACCATGTCCAGGACAAGAATGGCCTGAATAAGACTGCCATCTCCTCCCACTCACCAGCTTAATCTCCCCGTTGCCCACGATGACACTGAACTCGCTCAGGTCCTTCATCAGCCCATTCAGCACCTCAGCAATTCGTTTGCGCTGGTGTCCACTGACTTCCTGCAGCCGCTGCAACTCAGACTCCAGGGATAGCATGGTGGCCTGGGGACAGACCCTTGGGTCATCCATATCACCGTCTTCCTGCTTCCCTCCCCTGCCCAGTCAGATGCCTCTCCCTTCATGCATGACCCTGTGGGCTGCTATAAAGAGAACACAAGCCCTGCAGAAGGGTCTGGATGACAGAGGACAAACAGAGCAACAGGGAGGATGTCACAACACACTGAACAGCGGTGTTGAGGGGCAAACGCAGTATAGTTGTATAAGGGAGGAGGTCCCCTTAGGTGTGAAGGGTGCTCTGAGGCCAGGGAGCTTGTAGACCACGAGCACACCACTTACCACCTTCTGGGACAGCTCGTCCACCAGCAGCTGGTTCTGTTGGCTCTTCTCCTCCACCTCCTGGGACTTCTGGTCATAGTTGACTGCCAGCTCCTCCAGGGCCTGCAGCACCTCCTTCACCTCGTCCTTGGCAGCATCGTTCTCTGACTGCAGGTGGCTCAGCTCCCGCTGGACCTTCTCGTTGTCTCCTCGGGTGGACACCAGTAGCTTCGAGGGGGAGGAAGGGCCGTGAGGAAGCTCGCTGCCAGTTATCCCTTCCCGGCCCCACAGTGCAGGGCAGATGAGCCCTCTACCCAAAGCAAGACCCAGTGGAAGTGGGCTTTGGGCTTCACAGAAATAGGGCAACAGAACGAAGGACTCCAAAAATCTATGCTTTAAGAAAAGCCCCTGTGACATTCCCAGGCTTCTGCAGCTTGTGGGAGTGACCAGCCCCTAAGCAGAATGCCCTTCTTCCGTCTGATTTTCAAAAGGTCTTTTCTGTCCAGGCCCAGTGGCTCATGCCTGTAATCCTAACATCTGAGAGGCTGAGGTGCAAGAATCACTATAGTTCAGGAGTTCAAGACCAGCCTGAGCGAGATGAGACCCCACTGCTACTAAAATAGAAAACTAGCCAGGCTTGGCAACGGGCACCTGTAGTCCAGCTACTCAGGAGGCTAAAGCAGGAAGGTTGTTTAAGCCCATGAATATGAGGTTGCTATGAGCTATGATGATGCCAGGGCACTCTATACTGGGCAATAGAGTGAGACAGTGTCAAAAAAAAAATTAAAAAGGTCTTTTCTTTGCCTTTCCTCTCTCTTGCCCTGTTCTCCTGCCCTTACCTCTTCCTGGTCCAGCATCTGCTGCTTGAGTTTCTCTATGAGTTGGCTCTGCTGGTTGATCTCATCATCCTGTGCAGGGCAAGGGGGAGAGGCAGGGTAAGGGAAGTGACTCCTTCCAGCTTAGGGTTATGGGGTTGGGGGTAGAGGAAGGATCCTGACAAAAACCCAGAGAGTTTAAGCTTTGAGTTAGAAACCCCACACACTAAAAAGAGGCTTTTCCTCAGCTTCTTTCCTCTATTCCTGATCTTACCTTTAAACTCCTTTTGTCCTGGAAATTGTCATGACTTTAACAATAAACAGTAAAATGCTTTAAATGTTCAATTAAATTCTATATTTAAAAGTATGGTCAAGTGCAGTGGCTCACGCCTATAATCCTAGCACTCTGGAAGGCCAAGGCAGGTGGATTGCTTGAGCTTAAGAGTTTGAAACCAGCCTGAGCTAGAGTGAGACCCTATCTAAAATAAAATTTTTTTTCTAAAAACAGAAAAATTAGCTGGATGTTGTGCCAGGCGCCTGTACTTTCACCTACTCAAGAGGCGAAAGCAGGAGAATCACTTAAACCTAGGAGTTTGAGGTTGTAGTAAGCTAGGCTGACACCAAGGCACTCTAGCCTGGGTAATGGATTAAGACTCTGTCTCAAAATAAAAAGAAACAATTTCTAAACATAGAATTCCACTCTAGTATTCTATTCTAATCAAATCATTCAAAAGCAAAGTCTTACACACAAGAGACAAAGAAAGTCATTTCAGAGTTGTTATAAAAACAAGCCAAAACAGGCCAAACGAGGTGGTTGTGCCTGTAATCCTAGCACTCTAGGAAGCCAAGGTAGATGGATTGCTTGAGCTCAGGAGTTCAAGAATAGCCTGAGCAAGAAGAGCAAGACCCCATCTCTCAAAGTATCCAGGCATTGTGGCAGGCACCTGTAGTCCCAGCTATTTGGGAGGCTGAGGTAAGAGGATCACTTGAGCCCACGAGTTTGAGGTTGCTGTGAGCTATGAGGCCATAGCACTCTAGGCAGGGCCACAAATTGAGATGCTGTCTCAAAAAAATATTTTTTTCAATAAATAAATAAATAAGAAAAGCACAATGTTAGCAGTGTTATCTCTGAATGGTAGAATGATAGATGATTTTAATTTTCTTCTATATATTTTTATTTTTTTTCCGTATTTTTGAAATTATTGATAATGAGGAATTGTCCCTTTTAAAATCCAAGAAAGGAAGTATAAGCCATTTCCTCCCAACCCTGGCCTCTCATCTGGTGCCCCCCAGGCCTCACCTTGTCATCAAGCTGCTTGTAGAGACGGCGGATCTCTTCCTCGTACTTCTGCCTCTCCTCAGGGGCGATGCGTACCACGATGGACGAGTTGTCATTGACAGGGGTCTCCTCACACAGCTCAGTTCCCAAGGCTGCATCCTCCCCAGCCAAGCGCTCTGTCTCGGGCACATTCTCTCCTGGTAAAGGGGCAGAGCAAGGTGAGGGATGGCAGAACAGCAAGCTGCACCCAAAAGCTCTTTCTTCCTGCTCCTCAATGCCAAGGCCCCATCCCTCTTGCCTTTCTAGGGGATTGGGGCAACAGACAGGCAGCCCCTCTCTCCTCCCACATGGCTGTTCTCCAGAGCAGAAATACAGCTCTCCTTGCAGACTGTCCTGACCAAGTCATCCCCCAGACAGGGCTGGCTCACAAGCCTCCTCCTGTTCCCACTGCTCTCCACTCCCACAGGACTCCTCTCTAACCATTACGCCACCGGCTCAGCTCAGCCTCTAGCTTTGCAATAGTCTCCTTCTGGGCCTTCGTCTTCTCCTTCTCCTTCTCGTATTTCTTCTTCCACTGCTCGGCAGTCAACTCCAGATTCACTGAGGCAGTGTTCTTAATGGTCTTTGCCCTGGACAAGGAGAAGAGGAGCAGAGGTGAGACTTGCATCAGCCCTGGGTAGGGAGCTGTGGAGCTGGAGCTGGAAGCTGGGTGTCGGGGATCCCTCTGGAAACCCAGCCACTGACCGCTGCCCAAACATCAGGGTAGACTTGGTCTCTGCGTCATTGTAACTGGATGGAGAGCAGCAGATGAACATAGTTGTCCTGCAGTTCCCTCCCAGAGAGTCCTGAAGAATCCGTGTCATTTTGCTGTCACGATACGGAACATAGCTTTTCTGGGGAGGAGCGAGACCAAAAATCAGAGAAATAAATTCAACGGAAAATCAGAAAGGACAGAGGTGCTGACGGGGGATCAAGCACCCCATGAGTTGAGATATTAGGAGAAGGTGGGGGAGGAGCTAGGACAGGGTGTGGGGGGCACCCAGAGAACACTCACGGTGCCTTCAGCCAGCGCAGAGATCACGTTTCCCAGGGCTGACAGTGACTTGTTGATGTTCTTTGCCTCATCCAACACGGCTCCCTCTGCTCCAGTCTTGCTGACCTATAAGGTATTACGGGACAGGTATGTTACCAGCAAGGTGCAGTGGGAGAGGGCAGACACCACCGTTTTCCCACTTAGCGGATGGAAAGGGTCGGGTCCAAGGAGAGGGGAGAGAACAGGAAAGAGGATGGAGTAGAGCATAGCCATTTCAAATTCTTTTTTTTTTTTTTTTTTTTTTTTTTTTTTTTTTTTTTTTTTTTGAGACAGAGCCTCAAGCTTTCCCCCTGGGTAGAGTGCCGTGGCATTACAGCTCACAGCAACCTCCAACTCCTGGGCTCAAGCGAGTCTCCTGCCTCCGCCTCCCAAGTAGCTGGGACCACAGGCGCCCGCCACAACGCCCGGCTATTTTTTGGTTGCAGCCGTCATTGTTGTTTGGCGGGTCCGGGCTGGGGATCCGAACCCGCCACCTTAGGTGTACGTGGCTGGCGCCTTAGCCGGTTGAGCTATAGGAGCCGAGCCAGCCATTTCAAATTCTTTTATGCCGTAAGCTCCATAGGCTGAAATAAAACCCTTCCTCTTACAAAAAAAAAGAAAAAGGAAAAGAAAATAAAAGAAAGAAGGAAGGGAGGGAGGGAGAGAGACGGAGCAAAAGAAGGATGGTCCTTCTCTATTTCTCCCAACTCTCTTGCCAGAGGCCCCCTCAGCCTCACTTCCTGCCACATAACACATGTTCCATGATGTGAAACACCAGAATAGGCAAATCCACAGAAGCAGAAGGTAGATTAGTGGCTGACGAGACTGAAGGGGCCTTTGGCATGAGAATGGGGAGTGACCATGAAAGGGTGATGAAAATATTCTAGAATTAGTGGCAATGGGTACACAACCTTGGGAACATGCTAAAAACTACGGAATTGCACACTTTAAAATGGTGAACTTTATGGCGACTTCAATTGTATCCCAATAAAAAAAATTTTTTTAAAAGAAAAGGCTACTCCCTCAAGGTTTCCCCCCAACCTTCTCGCTCCCTGCCAGGTCCACCAGATACAGCTTCCCACTGAGCTTCTGCTCAGTTTCCATATTCTCCTGCTTGATGTTGATGAGGAAGATGCTGTGGCTCCGGGAGCTGTGCTCATTCATGTCTGCAGGGGCAAGGGACGAACAGGACCTGTACCACCCTGAGGAGCTGAAGTCCCCAGTCCCGGGCCCCATGGACCCACACCCCACCCACCAAGAGAGAAGGTGCCTGGCAAGTCCAGCCCAGTTGCCACAGCAGCCAGGCAGCAGGGCATACAGACAGGGGTCACTCCTCCTCTAGAGGGCACAGCCTTCCCTTGCTCACAGAAAGGCGCAAAAGAGAGGCATAGCCCCCAACTCAAGAGCTCCTCAAGGGGTTAGTAGCAATCTGGGAGACTGAGGCAGGTGGATTACTTGAGCTCAGGAGTTTAAGACCAGCCTGAGCAAGAACAAGACCCCACGCCTATAGTCCCAGTTACTTGGGAAGCTGAGGAAAGAGGATTGCTCAAGCCCTAGAGTTTGAGAATGCTGTGAACTACAATGATGTCATGGCACTCTACCCAGAGCATGGAATGAGACTCTGTCTCCAAAAAAAAGGAATAAGCCCCCATAAATTTAGCCAGGTGCCATGGCACATGCCTTGAGTCCTAGCCAGTCAGGAGGCTGTGGCAGGAGGATCTCTTGAGCCCAGGAGTTGGAGGTTGCAGTGAGCTATGGTCACACTCCAGCCAGGCAACAGAGCAAGACTCTGTCTCCAAACAAAACAAAACAAAACAAAAGACCCCCTCAAGAGCCCTACTCACTGGTGACAGCCACATGACGATTTGATTTTCCTTCATCAATCACATCCAAAATCTCCTCTGGGCTGGATACAAAGCGTTCAGTACAACCCTGCAGGGGACAAATGGACATTGACCCATAAAGTTTGATATGCAAATGAAACTTCCTGCACACTGACCAAATGACCTTTTTTTTCTTTTTGAGTCAGAGTCTCACTGTGTTGCCTTTGGTAGAGTGCCATGCTGTCACAGCTCACAGCAACCTCAAACTCTTGGGCAATTCTCTTGCCTCAGCCTCCCAAGTAGCTGGGACTACAGGCACCTGCCACAATGCCTGGCTATTTTCTTGTTATTATTGTCATCGTTGTTTAGCAGGCCCGGGCTGGGTTTGAACCAGCCCCAGTGCATGTAGCCAATGCTCTAAACACTGAGCTATGGGCGCCGAGCCCAAATGACCTTTTTTTTTTTTTTAAGAGACAGTCTTACTTTGTCACCCTCAGTAGAGTGCTGTAGTATCACAGCTCACAGCAACCTCTAACTCTTGGGCTTAGGCAATTCTCTTGCCTCAGCCTCCTGAGCCAAATGACCTTTTAGGGCAGTGTCTTTTCTAAGCTCCCAGGTTCCTCCTGGCCTCTTACCACATCTCATTTCTCCAGAATAGCCACCTCCAGCTTCCAGGTCACTGACCTATCTCACCCCTTCCCCACACTCTCAACGCACTGGCCCCATTCTCACCTTGACAAATGGCACCCGGTTCTTGTCCTCGTGCACAGACAGATTTGTCTTGGTCACTGAATAAAGAGCATACAGAGTGAGCAAGGTCTACACTTCCACCTCACCCCTCTCACCCCGAGGTCTACAGATGATGGTTTCTTCTATGTGCTACAGGGAGGAAAACTAAACTGCCAGTATGAGCTGAAAGCTCAGTCCTGCCTCCCCCTCCTCAAGGTCATCTCCTCTCAGGCTGGTCATCTGTAGGCCTGAGCCCATAAGCTCATCTTCTCACCCTCTCAGTTTCTGGAAATTGATGGTGAGTAGAGACAAAGGATTGGGTCTCACGTGCCCTCTGCCCCTCTTGCCAGGCAGTACCTAACCCCAAGAACAACGTGGTCTTCCTTTTCCTCACACACTCACACTCACTTGGGCAAAACACTCACCATCCAGAAGGTCACGAATTTTGTCCAGGTAAATCTCAAAGTAAGAAACCTGGTTCGGGAGAAAGGAGTGTAAAGTGAGGAGTGCCTACCTTACGTCTGCTATGTGACCTGCTCAAACAGGAAAGAACATTCTGACAAGGAAGAACTGAGGTGAAGGGAGGGCTCAAGCTGGGGAGCCCAGGTTTTCAGTAGGTTCCCCCTGGATCTTCCCTCCAGGCCCCTCTAAAAGCACCCCGATGCCACTCCTGGTCACCTTGATGTGAAACTCAAGGTTCTCATCCATTGAGTAGATGTGGTTGAAGATGTCTCGGGCAATGCGAGGAATGATTCCCATCAGCTGGGGGTCGTGCAGCTTTCCCTGGGGAGTGAGGGCATTGAGAGTGAGGCTGGGGCTTAGGCAGAATGAGACAGCTCCGAGGCGGAAAGGTGGGTACAAAGGTGGGCGCTGAGAAGAAGGCCATGGTAAGGCAGGAATACGTGCCATGTCCCCCTCTCCAGGAAGGGAGCGATGACTGAGCAGCCCTTTGCACTTTCACTGCTGCTGCTTTTCCAGATCAGAACCAGAAAAGTGGATGAGTGGAAATCAGGGTAAACTGCACCAGGCTGAAGGGCTTCCAGTGAACCACCCTGTGACACTGTCCTTCAGTTCACCCTCTGTACCCAGCTGCCTCTGCATCAGGCAATCTTTAATTCCTAGATCTTCCCTGAGATTCTTTGATCCCCCATTAGCACTCTTGGCTCCTTACCCCCTACAGAGTCAGAACCCTCACCTCCATGGTATGAGTTTTTCCTGAGGATGTCTGTCCATAAGCAAAGATGGTGCCATTGTAACCAGCAAGGACATCTGGAAGAGACGGTGGGGAAGAAACGCTAGTGGAGATAAGTGGGGTAGAGAATGGGGAGCCTAAGAACATAGATTCCAAAAATACATCTATTACCTTTGACAATCTGCATGGCACACGCATGATAAACTTGCTCCTGAGTTGTGTTTGGGGGGAAAACACGGTCAAAGACATATGGCTTCCCCTGGAATAAAAACAAAAGATGTCAGACATCAGCAGGCAGAGTGTGAAGGAGAAGAATGACCAGTGCCCTGTTCCACGAGCCTGAGAAAGGAGCCCTGTTCATTAGCTGCCCCAATACATGGAAAATTGGAAGGATGAGAGAAATGAGAGAAAGAAGCAAAGTTTAGCACTGACACCAGGAGTTGTGTCTGAATGGGAGAAGACTGTCACACACTGAGGCTGTGTGAGGGAACCTCGGTCTTGGTATGATGGATCAGCACCCCACTGCTCCCAACCCTCTCATGGAAACCACATGAGAAAAGACAATAGGGCAATATGCCATGGAAACGCAATTTATTAACATTAAAAAATACTTCAAGTTTAACAAAATCTTCCTCATTAGATCCAATGTCCTGATGTGAAGGATCTTCAAGATGTACTACACAGAAGATGCGGAGTTAGCATCTTCTGTGTAGTACATGTACAGCAGGTCCCCTGTTGCCTAAGGGAAATCTGCACACATACTGAGCTTTCTCTTTGTGAAAGAAAAGTGATATCAGAGATACAAATGTCCCTTAAGAAGAGAACCAGCGGCTCGGCGCCTATAGCTCAACAGGCTAAGGCGCCAGCCACGTACACCTAAGGTGGCGGGTTCGAA